GTACATTCATATTGTTGTGCAACCATCACAACTATCTGTCTCTGGAGTTTTTCAATATGAAACTGAAACTGTATACATTAAATACTAACTCCCTCCCCCCCTCATCACCCAATTTCTTGATAGCCACCATTCTACTTTGCTTATGTGAACCTGTCTACCTTCGTAGTTATATAAGTGAAATCATGCAATATGTGTCCTTTTGTGCTGGACTTATTTCACTTAGGATAGTGTGCAAGGTTCATCCATATTATAATCAGATTTTTTTCCTTTTTATTGAAGTAACATTGGTTTACAGTATTGTATACAATTTACAGGAATAAAATCTCCCCGTTCAGGTGTTATTACAAGACCAAACCTACCAACCAAGACACCTATAGGTCCATTATACTCCTTCCCCAATTTATTCTCTCCCCTCCACTTCTATGGTAGCCTCAGTTCTACAGTTTAGGGTTCATAATTTATAATTGCTTTCTTTTCTGCAATGTATACTCTGTGCTCCTTTGTCATAGATCAACTGTCCATCATAGGTATAGGTTTACTTTGGGTTCCCAATTCTAGTTCATTGGTCTGTGGTCTATTTTTGACCTAGTGCCACCCTGTTTTGATAATTATACCTTTGTGGTATAGTTTAAATTGGCTTTATCTTACCCTTTCTTTAATTTTTCTATATTCCACAAATAAGTGACACCATCTAGTATTTGTCTTTCTCCTTTTTTTGTTTGACATATACCTTCTAGTTCCATTCATGTTATCCCAAATGGCAAGATTTTAACTTTTTATAGCTATGTAGTATTTGTGTGTGTGTATCATATGATTTTCCTGATCCACTCATCTGTCTTTGGGCACTTAGGTTGTTTTCATAGCTTGACAATTACAAATAGTGTTTCAATGAACATAGATTGCATATGTTCCTTCAAATTAGTGTTTATTTATTCTCTGGGAACATGCATAGGAGTAGAATTGCTGGGTTATATGGTAGATCCATTTTTAATATTTCGAGAAACCTCTATAATGTTTTGCACACATGCTGGACAAGTCTACAGTGCCACCTACAGCGTACAAGGATTCATTTTTCTTCACATCTTTGCCAGCACAGTTTTTTCTGGTCTTATTGATATGGGTCATTCTCACAAGGGTGAGACTGTATGTCATTGTGTGTGTGTTTGTTTTTTTTTTTTACATAAGTGATGATGAGTGATTTTTTATATAACTGTTGGTCATCTGTATGTCTTTGAGGAATAAACACTTATTTAGCTCTTCTACCCATTTTTGATTGGGTTGTTTCCTTAACGTTGAGTTGTATGAGTTCTTTGTAGATCTTGGATATCATCTTTTTCCAGATACATGGTATACAAGTATTCTCTCCAATTCAGTCAGGTTTTTGTTTGTTTGTTTGTTTGTTTGTTTTACTGATAGTTTCTTTCATTGTGCAGAATCTTTTTAGTTTGATATAGCCTCAATTGTTTATAACTTCTTTTGCTTCCCTTGCTGTTGGAAATGAATCCACAAAGACATCACTGAAGCCTATGTCATGGAATGTTTTGCATATATTTACTTCTATGTATTTTATGGTTTTAATCTTATATCCAAGTCTTTTATCCACTTTGAGTTAATTTTTGTGTGTGGTGTGAGATAGTGGTTAAGTTTCATTTCTTTTTTTTTTTCATGATGCTATCCAGTTTTTCCAATATCATTTGTTGAAGATGCTTTCTTTTCTGCAATGTATACTTTGTGCTTCTTTGTCATAGATCAACTGTCCATTATAGGTATAGGTTTACTTTGGGTTCCCAATTCTAGTCCATTGGTCTGTGTGTCTATTTTTGACCTAGCACCACCATGTTTTGATAATTATACCTTTGTGGTATAGTTCACAATCTAGGCGTGTGATACCACCACTCTTGCTCTTTTTTTTTTTGGTCAGGATTTCTTTGGTTACCCAAGGTCTTTCTTTTGTGGTTCCATATGAACTTCAACAATGTTTGTTCTATTTCTTTGAAGAATGTCATTGAAGCACATAGAAATTGCATTGAATCTGAATATTGCTTTGAATAAGATTACCATCTTCACAATGACAATTCTTCCTGTTCATCAGCAGAGAATAAATTTTCATTTCTTTGTGTCTTCTTCTATTTTTTTAAACAATGTCATATAGTTTTCAATGTATAAGTGCTTCACCTCTGTTAAGTTTATTTCTTTTTCATGTGATTGTAAATGTGATTATTTTCTTGATTTCTTTCTCTTCTAATGTCATTTTTTGTATATAGGAAGGCAATTGATTTTTGTATATTGATTTTACACCCTGCTACTTTAAGAGCTAGATATTCTTTAAATTCAAAATCTCAAGGACAATATCCAAAGATAAAATATAAATATCCAAAGATAATATAACAAAATCTCAAAGATAATATAACATTGTGCTATTGGTATGCTTAGGTGTGTGATCTGTCAAATTAATAATTTTTTCTCACTCTGATAATCTTCAAATGCATTGTTATTTTTTTATAATCAAACAGTAAAAGATATTACTTCCCTGAATTGAGTACAAATACATAGTAAATAACTAATCATTAATTATGCATGACATTATATACCAATTATTTGTGAAGACGCCTGGGAGTGTTATAAATATAATCTCATTAGTTTTCTCAAATTTTCCACAAGCTTGAAAGGTAGTCATTATTATCTCTATATTTAACACATTGCTATATTAATAAAAATTATGGACTCTTTTACATTTAACAAAACACATTTACATTTATCATTCTATTTGCCCTTTTGTGAAACAGATGCTATTATCATCCTCTTTTTTCAAATGAGAAAATGTAGTTTTAATTACCTCCCAGAATCCTTATGAACATTAATAAAGGCTAATCTTTACCTCTGAGAAAGTGGCTCTAACATAAAGGATCATCTTAATGTAGGAGAGAGTTGGGGTACCTGGTTTGGTATGAGGAAATGGTATCATCTGATTTATGGTTACTGTGTGGAATTAAAGATGTAGATTAAGAATGAGAACTACATTGATAGAGCATTATTAAACATGGAAAGAAATTCACCAACAATGGAGCCCAAAAACAAACAAACAAACAAACAAACAAAAAACACAACTCAGATAGATTTTGGTGGTAGAAACAATAGGAAAGTCAGAAGAGCAGCTATGGGAGTTAAGACAAGGAGTGACTCAAGAATGACTCCTTGGTTTCTGATCTGAAATGTTGTGTGGGAGGTGGTATCATTTACAAAAGCAATTATAAAACCAAAAGGATGTATATTGTTTGTTATTTTGTTTGTTCATTTTTTGGTTGGCTGGCTGTTTGTTTAGTGGTGATGACTACATCAAAGTTTAAGAGTTTGATTTAAAAGTTAATTTTATGAAAGTTGTGAGACACTCAAATGAAGACCTAGCAGGAAATTGCATATTCAAGTCTGGAGTTCATAGGAGAGATTCTGGCTGATTGTATATATTTGGGACTTGTCAGCATAAATGGGGTAATTAAAGTCAATATAATACATATCTCACCTAGAGAGTGAATTTAAGAAAGAGAAGAGGGCCAGGGCAGCATCCTGGAGAGCTCCAATATTAAGAGGTCAACAGAAAAGCTGGCAAAAGTGCCTGAGGGGTGACCAGGAACAAAACAATATCTTGTCATTGACTCCAAGTGTAGAGAGTGCTTAGGAAAGAATAAGCTGTGTCAAATGCTCCTGGAACGTCAAATCAGATTAGGGAGAAACAAGAACTTTGAATCTATTCACTCATCCATTTAGTGCAAAAAAAATTCTCCTAGCTTTGATTAATTCTTTCATCTGACCAATACTTATTCTTTGCCAATTGTGGGCCTAAAAATTGTTTTAGGTCCTCAGAATAGGATGGCAAATGACGAGCCATGATTTCTGCCTCCATGAAGTTTGCATTCTGTTGGGGCACAGAAACAATAAAATAGGCTAATAAGCAAGATGACTTCATAGCATGCCAGTGCTGGAAACAAAGGCAAAATAATAGAGAGTTACTGGGCCAACTTATTTAGGTCTAGGAATAGACAAGGACATCAAAATTTTTTATAAAGTGTAATTATAAGAAAATTTGTTTCTCTTTGAGTTGAATGACAGCAAATAATATTTGCTTTAAAACTTCACCAAAAATGGCCTCCCTGGTGGCACAAGGGGTTAAGCACCGCACTCTAAAGCAAAATGCAGTCTCTGCAGCACGAGTTCAATCCTTGGCCAGCCAGAGAGAAACCCACATGGCGAAGCAGAACTCTCCTGACTAACCCACTGCTCCCCTCAGCAGTGTATTTCCCCACTCTGTCTCTGGTGAATCCTCTCACCCACCGCATCTCTGGCCTGTACCCCAGCTCTTGCATGCTTAAATAAATCAATCTGGAAAAATAAAAAAAAAACTTCACCAAAAAAAAAAAAGGGACCTGAGACAATAGTGGGAGCTAAGTTCATTAACTAGAAGTTAAAGGTGATCTTCTAATGATCCTAGCGTTGGTGTCTGCTCTGAGGAAAAGAAGGAAGCTGTTGGAGGCAGTGCAATGCCTATGGCATGAGTTCTCTGGATACTGCTAACTTCGTAAAGTATTTCTATCACAGCACAAGAACTGTGGGCTTTTCCAAATTGATGTTGAATGTTTTCTAACAAATATTTTCTAAGAGAAGTAAATATATTTTCTGTCATCTACAGTTGTGTTCCATAGAATTAAGATGTGTGACAACTGTCTGTATGCATGTGTTCCAAGACGGCAGTCTGCTAGGCAATACAAGAAATAAAATGTCATTTGTTTTATACTCTGACCATCCCCCTCCTACCAGTTTGGCCATTTCTGTTACTGCTCCAAAGGTCATGCAGTTCACAGAAGAATACAGAGGGAGGGCAATGAGGCAAAGAAGTAGCCTTGACTTTCTCCTTCAGTGAAGCAAAGTGTATGAAACTTTTCCTGTGACCGCTAGGCACATGCATGTTTATCAGAATCCTCAACTTATGCACGTTTCTCTTACAGGACACAGATAAGTCTTCTGGAACCATCTGTCTCACAGCAGAGTGTAGGAGGAGCAGAGTTCTTTCTGGAAGCCAATCCTAGACTACTACCTGAAGGCAGCTGGAGTTTGAATTCAAATCTGCACCAATTAAGTTTCCCTATTTTCTGAAGAGCTGGACAATTATAAGCTTCTCTGCCATCTAACCTCAAGCAATTTCAGGTCTTGAATTTCTTGCATCTACCAAACAGAGCTAACAAGTGACAATCTATAGATGATTTTTGCCTCCCCAGAATTGACAGGTAAGTTTTAAGGTTTAATTTTAGTGTTCATTTCAGTTAATGTTGTTGCCTACAAGGCAGAACATAAACTGTACAACTGCTGCCAATATATTAAGAAATATCCAGTCCTTTTGGACAAGAACTGGGCATTGGAAGGTCCATAAGTTCATGAAAAGCACATGAAAGGGCACTTGCTGGGATAAATATGGTCACTGACTCCTCTCATTTCTCTTGTAAACATTTTCTTCCACACCACACCCTCTCAATTAACCATATTAACTGGAGGCCAAAATATTTAAAATAAGGCTAATTTACGGAGTGATTTTTTTGTGACTTCATATGTCTTTGATCCAACATGTATAGTTTTGACATAATCTAAAATTATCCAATTGCCTATCTGCCATGAGGCTTATTGGCTTCACAAACTGAATAATTTTCTACATTCCTGAAAACCAAGTTGGTTTTTTCTTTTATTAAATTATCCCAGAAACTCAAAGGAATGTGAACCATGAGTTGAAACCCTAGTATAAGACACCAAAAATTTTCCATTCCTTCTAAGACTAAATCTGCATGTCCCTCTGGGGGAAAAATATAAAAGGAGTGAAGTTTAACCTCGGTCTTCCTTTTTTCCATTCCCTATAGTTGAAAGCACTCAGCAAGTTCCTTTGAATACATACTGTCATCTATCCCAACTGTGAGAAAACCACAGCAGAGTATTCTTTCAAATCTCATTCCTATAGAATCAAAGCCACCAAGTGGTAAATGTCATCAACTCAGCTACATATCAACAGAGGAAGAAGAGAAAACCACTACTAAACAACAGAGGCTATTTCTACTTTGTGAAAGAGTGGCCTGCAGTGCGAACTTCAAGCAACGTGAGAGAGGCACCATTCCAAGCAAGGCAGAACATTTCCAGGCACTGGAGAGTCCAAACAAGTCTTCTAGCTTATAAGATGCATGATTATCTCTGAGATGGGAACAAGATCAACAGGCCAACTGCTCCTTTTTAATTTTTATCTCCTGTCATTTCAAAATTACCCATTTGAATTCATCAATATTCAATAGGGCATAATTTTATGACAATAAATTTATAAACAATTTGATGGATATTTGCAGTTATCTAGCCTCATCTATCAGTCCACATGATATATAAAAAGATGTGGGAGTGAAACCACTACCCTAAAATCTGTTCACAGTGTTTGAATACGTTGTACGTGGACTTCTTTCTTCTCAGGTGTGAAATTCTGCCAAATCAAGAGTCATTTGGGTTAACAAGCCCATTTTGAAAGGTAAATAACTCTAAGAGAATTAGTTTAACAATTAAGTCCTTTATGGAGAGTGCGCTGGCTGCCTTAAATTACTTCCCTCCTAAACTCTAGTTGAGATATCCCCAGAGTAATGAGTACTTTAATAGCAGAGACTCACAAAACAAAAAAGCAATTTTGGAATATGAGAAGGGCTTTAAGTAAAGACATGCATAGGACAAGAAAAAAAAAATGGGGGGGGTTAGAACAGTCATAAGGAATGATGAAGCAAAGAAAGGAGTAAAGAAAGTGAAGTATGAAGGCCTAAAAACAAAGGATGAATGTTTCAGATATTCGTTCTCATTAGGCATGCTCCCAGTTTTTGGTGTAATAGCACCTCTTGACTATTCAGATATAAAAGATAACAGCATAACAGTTTAGTCCAAAAGAGAAAAGTCAAAAGTAGCTTTAAACTCTGCACGCCATAGAAACAGATCATCTCAAAATCTACCAATTGTGTGATTTCTTAAAATTTCCATATATCCAAATGTGGATATGGAGGAGGAGGGGCAATTTTCCTGATATTTTTTTCAACAGCTTCACTGGTTTTATTTTTTAATGATGAAATTTTTTCTTCTATCATTGTGGTCCCCAGAGTTGTCCTGCCACCGTATCTCCCATTAACCATCACCATATTCCCTGTGTTCATCTCTCCCCTGTTTAAAAGGAAGAAAACAAGCTGAAAGACATATGACTGGCTACAGGAGGGTTGTCAGACATGGGAGTTCAATATTGGGCATTATCTTAACTCACTGTGTCATGCCTACATTTCTCAGACCATTATTCTAGTCAGTCAAGGCCAGAAGTGAACACATTTTCACTCGAATACAAGACATCTTTCCTTGAATCCTGGAGAGTTTTGACAGAACTTCAGAGGAGCTATACACAGAGTATAACATAGACTTATGAAAAACAGGTTTTAACCAGACTCAAGAGTCAAATGAAGGTATTTTAACTCTATTACTTACTCTGCAACTGGAATACATTTTTCGAAGAGATTATTTATAGTTGTGGACGCCAAATAGATGCTCTGTAAACTGCCTGTGGAGAGAGTTGCTTTAAGAATCACAAAGCTAGCTGGAGGAAGCAGCATGGAGACTCTCACAGGCACAGTGACTCAGTGGGCTAAGAGAGGACTCCACGGATTTCTGTTTTCATACAAGCTCTGCCCTCACAGTCCTGCCACATAACCCTAGGCAGGCTTTTAACCTGTTTCAGCTGTACTTCTTCCCTAGTTAGTGAATTAATCAGCAGTCCTTGGGAGGGAAAACTAATTTAAATGATTTGTAAACAAAAGATTTTATAGAGTTTACAATTAATGATAAACAGCAAGGCATCAAACCTCTGATAGCTCAAGCAAATCAGTTTCCTGCCCTTACCCTAATCTATCAGAAGCAATCATCTGGCAGTTTTTACAAAATGTTCATATCTGCTATTAGACCAAGGCTTCCCAATCCTGCTCAGTTATAAAATCTAAAGACTTTAAAATTAGCTCCTGATTCCATATTCCAAGTCTACCAAACTGGGAAGGTCTGGAATTATTGCCTTTTTTTCTTTTTTTTCTTAGAGTCTACTGACAGTGGCCACGTGATGGTTTCGATAAATGTTAGACTTCCAGGGCAATGAAAGCCAGAGATCTCAAAACAGTTTCAGGACATCTGAAAACAGTACCAAAGCTGATGTTTCAAGAGTGTGGTATGAAGTTACCTTTTAGTGTTTCCTAGGAGAACCCTAGAAACACACATGAAAGCCAATATAGCCTTCCTTATATATATCCAATATAGAAGACTGCTCTTTTTAACCCACTCCTTTGACCCACGCCCTAAACAATGTCAGTCCTTCAACTGTATTTACAGTTCCTCAATGCTGGTGCAGGAACATTTACTGCTGCTGCTATCTTTATCTTTTCAATGTGTAGCACCCTGAGAAAAGCAAACCGAGTAAAAACATTTTCTAGTTGTTAAAGTCTGCCTAATTTATCACATGGAAATCAAGAATCTTGATTTCAATCATCAGTCAAATTTGCTCAATCAAAATGCCCATCTACATCAATACTGGAGACTGTGGTTGTCATTGCTTGTGTTGTTGTTTTGACTAAGACTTTGTGTAAATGATGATGGAGTTTGTTTAAAATGCCTTACTTTTGTACCATGAAATGAAAACTACATGCAATTTATTGTATAGTTAACTTGAGCATACTCACATGCAATTATTATGGTGGGGGGTCTGGAATACACATTCAGTCCCTCTCCACTAAAACATTAATAAAAATCCTTTGCCTGGGTGTTAAAAAAAAATAGTCTTAGTTCTAATCCAGCATGGTTTCCTTTCCTTGCAGCATGCAGCCTCGCTAAACCTCTTTTGTGTACCCCATGCTGTGTTTATTCATACAACACTAAAATGCAGCCTGAAAAAATGTTTTCTTTTATCATAGTACTTATTCATAGTCTCTTTATGAAACCTGCTCAAAGTTAAATTTAAGTATTATTTTTAATAATTGTATTTCTAGGAAACCTTTGCTTTCCTCAACATATTGTGAAGAATTTCTGCCACTAGTTGTTGCTCACATTGTTTCCTTGATATGTAGTTCATCTCCCACAACTGAGTGCACCACATGATTGGTGTTGGTCAGGAGTTCTGCATGTTGTTGTGATGGAATTCCTTCTGATCAGTCTGACCCCTTTAATAGAGATAACAATTGCTGGAATGGGATTATGAAACAAAAATACTCTCACCAACTTTGTAGAAGTAGACATGATTTCATTTCTATTCCATAATTAATAACTATTCCAATTTTCTCTCTGGCTCACTCCAGTAATAAAACCAAGTCTTCTTCCCCATCTCCACAAAAACAGTATGTCCCACATTCTAATGTCCCACCTTTTGCAGCTGCAACCTGACGAACAGGGCCTCAAATCAACTACCTCTTATAGCTAATAGAACACAGAATTCATGACTCCCAAAGGACTACATTAAGCACAATATCGAGTTTCAAATAGGCACACAAGAACTTTGTGCAGAAGGAGAGAGCACAGAAGGAATAGTAAAAATGGCCCAAATCCAAGTTTCTCACTGGAACACATTCGATTGCATACTTTCCAAGCTGCTGCCTAGGGCTTCAGTATCTAACTAACTGCAAGTGGAAGTTCATAGGGATTTTTCCAGGAGCATTATAGAACTGGTGGACACAGTTTCCATTTCCACCCACTGGTCTCAAGCTTCTCTCTAGAAGAGCTATTCCACACATTTAGCAGCGCTAACATTCAAGTCACCTAGCTAAGGAAGTTTAGTATTCACGAGTCTACCAGGGTCAAGGAAAAAAATAGATGCAGTTTTTTTTTTTTTTTTTTTTTTTAGATGCAGTTTTATTTGGGTGCACAAGCACCCCCAGAGAGAAGTCCCTCTAATTCATCACAGACTGAGCAAAATCACTCTGTTCCAGTTCTCCCTACTAGTTGATAGACTGCATATCTGCTATCATGACTTTCCCAAATACTGCATAATGATCTAACTTCCAATCAGTCAGAATTTACTGCTACTAGCAGTCCACCAGGAAGTTAAGCAGGCAAATGGGCATACCCCATGTGTTTGAGGTCACTAATGGGTTTTGGAACACACTCCATTACTGGGAGCCACTAAGAACAAAGATGGTGACTTGGATAATCACAAATGAGTCTTATTTGAGAGACAAAAAGAAACTGGGGCTCAGTTGATTGATGAGGTACATTCCTAGCATGAGGCCAATTTGTTGAGACTGGAAGATGTGGATGTTTATTCCAGTACATAGAAACCAATACAGAAAGTATTGGTATGTTCATATGTTCTGAACAAAAGAACAAGATAAAGTCCATGAAATCAACTTTAATGAAACAAAGATGAGTGCTTAACTCAATAGAGAATTCAAAATAATAGTTCATAAAGATACTCTCAAAGGTAAAATAAACAATGCACAAAGTGAGAATTTCAACAAACAGTATACAAAGTGCCTAATAGAAATCACAGAAATAGGAATACAATAACTGAACTGAAAATTTCAATAGAGGGAGTCAGGATCAGACCAGCAAGTGAAGGAAAAGATCCATGAACTCGAATAGAAGGTAGTAGAAATCATCTAAGCAGAGAAGCGAAAAGAAAATGAAAGAATGAAAATGAGTAAATACAGTTTAAGAGACTTACGGAACCAGTATAAATGTTAGAGATACATGAGAAGTATAAGAGAGAAAGAGAAAGGATCAGGTGATTCATTCAAAGAAATAATGTCTGAACATTACCCTAACTATCAGAAAGTAAGACATCCAAATTTAGGAAACCCAAACAAAACCAAGGAAGAAGAATCCAAAAAGATCCATACTCAGACAATTATAATTAAATTGTCAAAAGTTTAAGACAAAAAGAGAATCTTGGGGCCTCCCTGGTGGCACAGTTGTTAAAGACAGTGCTATCAAGCTATCGCCTGCCACTGCAACACAAGTTGGAACCCCAGCTGGCCAGGGAGCACCGACATGGTGCAGCAGACCTTTCCTGCCTCGCCTGCTGCTCCCCTTAGCAGTGTATTTCAGTAGATTTTCCTGTTCTGTTCCCCATGCTCTCTGGTGAATCCCCTCACCCCCCGCACCTCTCTCTGGCTTACACCTCAGTTCTTGTATGCATAAATAAATAAATCTAAAAAAAAAAAAAAAAACCTTAAAAGCAGTAAGAGGGAAGTAAATTGTTATATAGAAGGGA